TACTATATATTATATTATATATATATATATATATATATATATATATATATATATATATATACTTTTCGCAAAACATTGTAGAACGTACAATCACCGAGATACTTTTTCATCGAATTCATAGAGGATAATTCCTTTTTGCAAAAGCGACCAACGCCAAAAGCATGCCGCGAATGTTGTTGAACTGCTCATACCTTTACCGATCGGCAAATCTGACGTATATTTTTACGATAATGGATCCTGTTTATTTTGATGACAAAACAGTATGCAATATAAGTGAATAGAAAGAAAAATGTTCGTAAGCTTGATCGCGTGTCCGCGATCATTAGAATTGTATGTGCCTGTATAATTGATTAGGGAACTGACAAATGTATTTACTTTATCATACAATTTATATATGCAGAAAAACTTTTGTTTGATTTTTTTCAGTATGAAAAGTAGAGAAGTTTGAAAGAAATGATTTTAAAGGTATTTTCATGTGTAAATTAATGCTAGTGAACTTCAGCTCGATAAAATCCACCGGAATTGCGTTTGGAGGTAAAGAAATAAATGCAAGCTTGGCATGTTTAAGCTGGCTAGGACGCATGTTTGCTCATTAACTACTACTTCTCTCCAAGTAAGAACAATGTGCCCGGTGCGGCTATATTAAACTTGTACATTGCGTGACAAAAAAATATTTCTCTCTAATATCACAAAATATAATAATATTTAGCTGTTGTCAGATAAATCTATCACCTCTTTTAATGTGTATAATGTGTATAATGATGTTTTGTGTGTATAATGTCTTTCTGCGTTCTTACCACATATATGATGAATTCTTTTCGTAACAAGAATTTCCCAAACAATGATAAAAGAATATAAATAATTTCAGTATCAGATTTAGATAACTTAGATAACTGAAGATACTTAATAGATACTTAAATTAGATATTATGTACGTCTTTTTTTTCTTTTAATTTATATTACACATATTTATATGACAAATGAAAATTTATGAATTTTGACATCATTAGAATATTTTTTAATCTATTATATTAAAATAAAAGAATTTTCGCATTCGATTCCTAATCCGAAGGAAAGACAGGGCGATGTATAAAATAAAATTCTGTAATGCAACTATTGATAAGAAATGATTTACTGTCATATGAAAAAAATATAAAATTTGTATTAATTAAGAATAATCAAGAATAATAACAGATGTTAAATTAATAAAGTTTTGATTATATAAGTTTGCCAAATTTCTTTTCATAAATAAATTTTTTACAATTTCTTTATAAATTAATCTACATTAGATTGCCAATTAAAAAATAAATTAGTATAAATTATTTTAGTCACTATGGAAAACGTCTAATATAAAAATAATAAAGTATTTGTTATAGTTAAATTTAGATAAATTTGCACAAAATATAATGTGTATAAAAATTAAAATATAATGTGTATAAAAATTAAAAATTAAGTAATTATATTGTCAGATACAACAAATAGTCTATTGTTTAATTTTTCTTATTAATATGTATACAAAATATATTAAAAATAGTTGGACAAACTTAGAGAATATATTGTACTTATACTATGACTAAGAAAATTATATATGAGTTTCAAAAATCATTCAAATTATGAACATTTTTTTCTCTGATGATAATATGAGAGTATCTTAATAATAATTATATGGATAGAAAAATATTGACAAAGAAAATTAAATACAAAAAACAAAATTCAATATTTTGCAATGCAATACAATAATACAATAAGAAACGTATCTATTACATTCGTATTACGTATCTATTACATATTATCACAAACTGTCATTTTTCTATTAATTCTATTAATATTATTAAGATAAATAAACGCTTTTATAGTTAATAATATTAGTAAAAGAAATAAAAATGTTATAATTAATACATAAACGTATAGGATAGATATATCGATATATAAAACAACTTCTTTCTATATTTATTCTATATTCTATATTTTGTTAATGCATTGTTGATATTTCGTCGCTATATATAAAGTCGCTAAATATTAAATATATTAAAGTGTTGATTTAAATATACTATTCAACTCTTACTCCGCTCCAATCTCCACATAAACTAGTTACTATGCCAAAAAAGTTACGTGATTTAAATTTATCTAGGAGTTTAATGAGATCTTCGTCTGTGATATTCTGCGGTAATAAGATATAGGTGTAATCAAGTCTGCCTCTACATGCCATCTTCCCACTTAGTGAATAATCCTGCGCAATAGCACAAATAGTATCTACATTTGAATGTGATATTCCTAATGCATTTAATAATCCTTGATTCATACGAATAAGATCCTGCAAAACGTATATTAAGAAATCTTTAAAGTTTCTAATGAATAGCTTCATACGGAAATATCAAACAGTCCATAAACACACAAATCATTACTGTAACAAATCATTACTGAGACTTGCAGAATGAATTGACTTACTGATAATTTCTCGTAATTGCTCTGTGAAGAATCTGATAATGTACTTGTACTATATTTATATAAATTCATTCCCGGTTCCTCCTCAATCTGGTTAAATATTTCAATAGATTCTTTCGATATAGCGTCAATGCTGTCCAGAATGCTATCGGCGAACGGATATGAGTGCTTTTGCACAGCTTCGCTTGTAATATTTGAGTACATAATTAGAACTTTTATGCTCGGAAATTTTTCATATATTTTTTGCAGCCCGTTCTTTTCGAATACTAATAATGCGCCGAATATTGGTACTATAGAGTCGCTTATGTTCGAAGAATTGTACACTACTTTCTCGCACATAGTTATACAACGTTTAAGCACTTTCATATCTTCTTCGCCGAATTCATAGCGGACAATTCCTTTTTGCAGAAGCGACCAACGCCAAAAGCATGTCGCGAGACATGCCGCGAATGATGTTGAACTGCCCATACCTTTACCGATTGGCAGCTCAGATGAAATGTTTATAATAAAAGATGCCATTATTTTGATAGTATATCGGTATGCGATATAAACGAGCAGAAAGAAAAATGCTTGTAAGCTTAATTTATGTTGATCATTCATAGGTTCATATGTGCCAATGTAATCCGTTAACGAGCTAACATAATCTTTTACTTTAATATACAAGTCATGTTTTAGTATAATTGTTTCAGTAATATTATCATTAAAAAAGTGACAAATGAATGGATTTAAAGGCATTTTTATGTGTAAGTTGATACTAGAGAAAATCAGCTCGATGAAATCCACCTTGACTGCATTTGGAGGTAACGAGCTAAATGCAAGCTTGGTACGCAGGTTTAAGCTGGCTAGCACGCATGTTTTTTTATTATTTACCAAATTATCTCCAAGTAAGAACAACGTACCCGGTGCGGAGATATTAAACTTATACATATCTTGTGACAAAGAAAAAAATACTTTCAATATCATAAAACTTTCAATATTCATAAAAACTAACGTAATATCGAGTGGTTGTCTAAATTTTGATTTCGCTTAATTTCAACAAATACATAAATATATATCAAAATAAGAAAATAATATTTACCTTCCTTATGTGTTATATAAATTATAAAATATAAGATATAAATAAAAAATGCTGTATATGACGACGTATATGAAAAAAATAATTCGTCAATAATTTGATATTACTATTGATTTACTTATGTACAACAAAGATTTGAAGAAATTTGACAGTTTGCTTCTCGTCTCTTTTTCTTATGTTAATAAAATAATGAGAATTTTTTTTACTTCTTTCTATGTACAAATCGGTATTATATATTTTTGGTTAATAAAGATTCTATCTGAAAATTTTTATTTATGTTTTAATAAAAAAACGCAAGACATTTTCTTGAAACTTGTAAAAATGATAATTAATATTTAATTATTGGATATTTAACTAATTGTCGGATTGGTCTACCTTCTTACCTTCTTTAATATTTTGTTTACGTATCTTTCCGCGTTCTAATTATATGTAAAGAGATGGCAAGTTCTTTTCGTAACACCAATTTTTCAGACAATAGTGAGGTGACATACATTGTCAAGACATATATACAATTTCTGATTATTATTTTCAGTATTCCTACTAAAGTGCGATATTTAAGTTAAATATTGTGTGTTTGTGTGTTGTGTATATACATTTTTTCACATGACAAATCGAAATTTATAAATTTTGACATTATTATTAAAATATTTTTGAACTTACTTTAAACAAGTAAATATAAAAAACATTTTATTTTAAAATAATTTTTAAAATATTCGGTTTTGGGATATTATATTTTTAGAAAAAAATGGATGATAAATTATCGATGGGAGAATTAAGAATATCTAAAAAGAAGCTATTAATTCTTCATTTTCAACATTGTTATTTTCGCATGATATTATCATCGCATTATCATCGGTTTTTTGTGAATGATTAAGAAATGAGCAATTTTTATAAATTGATTATCGATCGATCCATATTTTCTCATTCAAGAGCAGGTTTTATCTCTCTCTAGTTTTATTCTCAGAAAATACGAATTTAAAATGTGATCTTTAAATTAATTACGCGAATTAGAGATATTAATGTAGATCTTTTATAAAATATTGTTAATTCCTTATTGGAAAATAATGTCATTTTAAAGTAACACATTATACGTTATGTAAGTTTAACAATTTTTATGGTATCAAACTTCAATTACAATCCATTTTTCATATCCAAGATTTCAATAAAATATAAAAGTTCCGGGTTTTTAATTTGAAAAAGACTTAGCTCGTCTTTAAAGAGAAAAGAAAGAGAAATATCTTTCTTATATGTGTCTTAAGAGTTCTATAGATGAGAATGTTCTTTACGCTTCCCATTGCAAACGGTGTGTTCGATAACTCAAGTAAGCTCTGATTTATCGTTATCGCAGCGGCCCGTTTATCTTTCTCTCCAAAGTCGGCCCGTTTGATACTTTTGTTTGTCCCAGGTTTTCCCATGTATACTACCAGCAATGCCAACCATCCACAGCACAATGGAGGACAGGAATAAATTCGATCATCCGCGATAATGTCGATTCGCGTTTGAGAGCAAGGCAAACGACTTCCACTTTTCTTCAAGATTTCGGCTCATTATTTTCGTTGTTTCAACTTCGCTTCCGGACGAATGATCAGAATGAAATTCGAAATATAGCTTCCGAAATTGATTTCATTAGACAACAGTGTAGCTAATTTTGTTATTTCAGGAAAACATTCGTTTTAACTCTTCATTTTCTTGATACTTAAGAAAAAGAAAACACTACTTTGTATTATAATATATTACAAACCATTATTATCAAGCATTAATACATTAGACTAATGATACATATATATATTTCTCTTCCTTTTAAATTATTTTCTTTAACAATAAGATTTTACAATTTTATAAGAATTCTATAAAAAATTGACAATTATGTATACGATACAAGTATGTATAAAATAATATTTTACCCACTTTTATAAAACCATATTTTACCCACTTTTATAAAACAGGCCGAGTCTAAAAGTCAGAATATTGAATGAAAAGCGAATATTATCGAACAAACACTATATGGCTTCTTCTTTGCATCCCTTTTGTTCTCTCTTCCGATCCTTTTTCCTCTACTTTGAAAGATTTTATATATATTAAGATATTTATACAAACCCTTATCAGTTTTATTATTATTTTTAGATATAATAATTCATATAATAATTTTTTAAATAAGTCAAATTTAATTTATTCTTGCCCTCGATAGAAATTCTTTTGTTTCGAATAAAATAAAATAAAGTAAAATATTTAACATGTAATAAATATTATTAGAATCTATTTTACGTTATTGTCCCTTCTTCCTCCGATGGTTTGAAAGATTTTTATCATATCACGATTGTGTGTGTTTTGCTCTTTCGATAGAATGCGACGAATTTGGTCGAATGATTTTTCTGCACTTCGGTTTTCCTCTCGTGATCATTTTCATCTGACGCTCGTCAGACCGCGCCTTTATTTCGCTGTTATCTATCTCGCTCGTATTGCCGGCGTGCTCGCATTATCGCTTATTACCGGTCTTTCATCGATCAGCACAATGGCGAATACATTCATTGTGTTGTTTAGCATTGTGATGTCGTCTTCTATATTGTCATTCTCCATTTCGAGTGATTTCGTCCTTTTCAACCGTGCAGATCGCGATACGCCGTACGTATATGTTCAACATTGAGAATATTCCGCTAACCCAGTCATCAACAAATGTGCCTGATTAATCAAAATTGTAATCCGCCCCTATATCTAATTTTTCTTACTCTTTCCTTTCCTAATGGCTTCAAGTCACGCGAGTTTGATGTGTTATCAGTCAGTAAAATTAGGCTTGCAAAACGAGTCGTATTTTTTGCAATTTGACAGACCGGGTCAAAAGATAAGACCGAAATAAAAATATTCTTCCAAAGTGTCACCTAAAATTTTATTCTTTATATTACATTTTACATATGACATATTTCGCGCGATGGCCGACGAAAGTTTCGTAACGCGAACACGCTCGATGAATTGGTTATCGATCAGTTTGATAATCCGCTTGCTATGCAATCAGCACACCAATTTCATCCTACACTCTCATTAGATTCTCGGTTTCTCTTTTTGCCCCTTGCATCGCGCCTCTTGATATATATATATATATATATATATATATATATATATATAT